CATAGCCTGGGGCTTGGGCCTCAGGGAGCCTGCTGTCCGCAGGGGGATGGGCAGTGACAGGGTGCCACTTCCCTACGGGCCCCCTTGCTGCACAGGAGAGCCAGACCCCTCGCCCTGGGGCCAGGGGACACATGCAGCCCAGCCAATGCTCCATGAACTCTGTCCCCCAGTGAAGCACTGGAGGTGACCGCTGACCAGTGGGGTGACCCCTGCTCTGGTCCCTGCCTCTGAAACTACTATCCTGGCCAAGCTGGCATGTGAGACTGTCTTGTGTCTCAGCAGCGGGTGTCTGGCTAAACGCCCAAAGGATGGGGTGGTCCCTACACCCCGTTTAGTTCTCCAGGCCGACCCCTGCCAACACGCGGGACCACGGCCGACACAACCAGGCAGATGCCCCGTGTGGGCCGCTGCTCGAGCGCATCGATCTGGGCACGGGTGGGGGTGTGCCGTCCGGTGGGGCAGGCAGAAGCACAGTGTGGCCGCTGACTGGCTGACTGGGCAGATGCCTTTGTTTCTACTGCAGTCATGACAGGGTCACCCAGTTAGAGCTGTCTCCTCTCCTGCCACGGAGACGCGGACCAGTCAGAGGGCCCACCAATGGCACAGGCCACCACGCCGTGCTCATCACGCCCACGAGACAGGACGAGCCCACGTGCCCCTGGGGCGGACAGGAACCCCACCCCAGCCAGGACCTGTCACCACAGTGAGGCCAGGAGCACGGGGGGCGACCCTCCAGAGTGGAAGGCCACTGGCCACCCCCGTGTGTCCCCCCAAGCCTGGCAGCCCATCACGTTTTGGAGACGCACAGCATTCCACACCTAGGAAGGCTGCTGTAGCCACGTGCTGGGGGCGTGGATGGCCATGGGCTTGGGGAGGGCTCAGTGCAGGGCCACACATGCCCCCAACACTGTATCACAGACCCCAGGGTGTTGGATGCGTCGGGCGGGAAACCACAGCCCGGAGCTCATGATAGACCCAGGGGGCAGTTCTCGGCAGGACCTGGATGCTGGTGCAAGGCCACCTCTGCGTCGGAGAGCTGGTGCTTTCTGTGAAGCCCCCGGGGAGACACAGTCCCTGTGGAGGTCCATCCCTCTGTCCCTTGGAGGAGCAACCCCACAGGATGCTGGCCCGGTCCCCGCGAGGCTCATGCACCTTCGGGAGCCGCTCTGACAGGTGGGCTCAGTGGAGGGGTGGGGGCTCCAGTGGGCAACCCCCCTCCATCACCCATGCTGACCCAAGACATCAGCGAGGAGAAGCAAGAATAAAAACACAGGGGGTGTGGAGGCAGAAGGTTCTGCGGGAAGCAGGCTGGGCCATGGGTCCTCATGAGTCCCGGGCGGCAGAGGGAGGACTGGGTGGTGGGGTGGCGAGGGCAGGCCCGCCTGGCTGACCCTGAGAGGGCCCGGGGCCCGGGGGGTGTGGGGGGATTCCGCTTTGTCCCGTTGATGCCTGGGACCACTTGGCTGTGCTGTCCTGAGTTCAGAGCGGCTCCGGGCCTGGGGACAGGAAAGGGAGGAGATGACCGGGGTCGTGTGGTGCCCCGGGGCTTTCTGGAGGCCAGGCCCTCCCCCGGCCCCCTGGGTGCACCGGCCTGTCCGCCCGTCTGCTTGGGGCTCACACGCTGGGCACTGGTGTGCGGACGCCAGGGCCGTGCAGGTGGGCGCATCAGCGGAGCCACGCTCCCCACCTCACAGGAGCCCGGCCTGTGTGCGCGTGGACCGTACGCTGTGCTTTTCACTCCCCGCAGCACGGAGATGGGCAGGGACCCAAGGTTTCACACGAGGAAGCACAGGTTTTAAAAAAATCGGGAAATGTTAGGCGGGGGACTTTTAGTTAAACATGAAACGCTTAGATTTTAACATCCATTCATTCTTAAACCCACCAAACTGACAGCAACCAAGTTAGAAAAACCCCAAAGATAAAACAAAACAAAATTACAAGATCCAAGAAAATGGGAAGGAACAAGCGTGTGAGACATGGGTGGGCGGCTGGAACCCAGGGGATTCTTCTAGCCAAGCCAGTGGAGAGGCAGATAGAACCTGCGATGGGGGAACGTTCCAGAATCAGAGCCCTGGTGCGGGCAGGCTCGGGGTGGGCCTCAGTGCCGCGCAGAGAGACAGACAGCTGCAGGCGGACAGACAGCCGCGGGCGGGAGAGGCTGAACTGGTAGTGCGCCCACGGAAACTCTGTGGCGGGACGAAGACCCTTCCCAAAGGACGGGGGTGTCCGGGCCCCCCCAGCTGGCTGCCACAGTGCTTACAGGGGAGGCCCACAGCGCCTTCCGTGAGGGACCTAAATCCCCCAGAAAACACAGACATCCACGCCCCCAGGGAAGGACCATCTTCCTGCCAAACCGCACACTGATCGTGTCAGCTGAGAACCTATCGCTTGTATGTAAGGTGTTCAAGCTGGGCATCCAGCACTGACACGATTCTTTCTCAGCGAGGCCGGCGGCCAGCGGAAGCTCCACTTTAATGACCCAAAATTCCAAATGCCCGTAGGTCCAGAAGACCGGCAGCTTTCAAGGTCTCCACTTCTGCTCTTTACCCTTCATTGTTACATGTGTGTGCCCACACATTCCTCACATGTGCTCACATTCCTCACATGCATGTGTTCACATATTCCTCATGTGTGTGCTCACATTCTCACATGCATGGTGCACACATTGCTCACACATGTGTGCTCACACATTACTTACATGTGTGCTCACACATTCCTCACATGTGTGTGCTCACACATTATGCACACCTGTACTCACATTCTCACACCATGTGTTCATGCATTCCTCACATGCATGTGCTCACATATTGCTCACATGTGTTCACATTCTCACACGTGTGTGCTCACACATCACATGCATGTTTGTGTGCTAATAGGACAGACCCTGCCCTTCTTTCTTGCTTATATTCTCCATTATCCAGTGGGAAAGCAGGAAACAGGGATGTGTTTAAAGCATGTGGGGACACACGCTGATCCATGACAGGCTGGCAGTGACATACAACCCCGTTCTGATTCCCGCTGGAAGCAGGAGTGGCTAAGGGGAGCTCGGGCTTCTCTAATGAGCTAATTATTACACTTCGTTTTACTTTGCAAAGAGAAATGGGTGAGCATTCTTGCCTTGTAACTTTTGTGGGTGCACTAACGTGTCCCAGGACCGACAGCCACCCCGGCGAGCGCTAAGCAGGAGATGTACTTGACGGACAGCAGCTGTGTTGTGCACGTGACCCGAGTGAGTGGCAGCGTGGGACTCAAGCATCGACGAGCACTGATTACTTGCACCTGCTGCACCCAGGGAGCCCTTCCCTCATCCTCACGCTTCCCCTGTGAGCCGTTCCCAGTGAGAACCTAGCACAGTGACGGCAGCATTCATTTGCAAAGAACAGCAATGCTGGGCCCTGCGTGAAGTGTGGGAAGCACACACCTATACTGTTTCTACTGTTACAAAGCTCTTATTTCACAATTATAAAGCATCATATGAATTCCTTTAAAATAAAAATATATTCCTTGCTTTATTTCCAAAGTCCCATTCTATCAACAAACAAGAAGGCAGAGTTTATAAACTGAGGACAGACAGCGAAGACACACGACGTAGGCTTGTGCTTTTGTGGGAGGTGGGCTGTGGTGGGCGTGCAGCCCCCTCTGTCCACCGAGACACCAGGTGCTCAGTGAGTCCCCCTCATTTGTAAATGTGGCCAAGGCACCACGGGTCTGCGCTCAGCTCTGCGTGATCAGACTCAGCATCTCTCTGGTCCTCCCTGTCCATCTCACAGGGGGAAATGTGTGCCCACTCACCAACACTTGCCCTTCCTCAGCTACCGAGTGAATTGAGAACCTTGGAATTATAGAAAAAACACCAACAGGGTCACATAGGGAAGGGTGAGGGTTTTCAGCAGAGGAAGTAAGGTCCGGCTACCGTGGAGGAGGAGACAGAAAGCAGATGTGAGGTGGACTGGAGAAGCCAGGCACTGCCCCCTTTCTCTGGTGTGGGCATGCTCGGGGACCTGGGCCGTGGTGAGTGGGGAGCCCAGGACCTACCTGGAGGCTCCCGGCCACCGTTCCTCTCTCAGGGCTCCGAAAGTAACTCCCAGCCAGTTTCCCTGGAATAGTCTGCACTCTGTTCTTTCCTGGGCTGCACCCTAAGATGGTCCCATTGGTTCTGGGAACTCTAAGAAATGGATGTCCACATCCTGGAAGTGAGGCTAGAACGGTGGATTTCAGGGTTATTCTGGTTGTCCAGGTCAGGGCGTGGTTCCAGCCCACAGTCCAACATGCCTAGGCCATCGCGACCCGTAGGCACAGCACACAGGAATTTGTGCCCGACATTTTAGGAAGGAAATTTGATACATAGATGGGTTTGCTTTCTAACATGTGAGGAAGAGTCTCCATGGCTGAGTCTCAGGATGGCGAGGAGAGTCGGTGAGGCCATCAGAGGAATAAGCCAGGCTAACAAGCATCAAACCAACAGCAGGATTTTACCACCACAAAGAAAACTGAAATGATCACCCAAGGGTTTAGGGAAATAAATTTACTATAATTCACCATTTAGGTATTGCAGATGCAAATAAAAATACATTTCAACAGTAAGAATTCGTGGTTCTTTCTGCTCTTCCATTTTAACTTAAAAAAAGTCTACGAGATCGTCTGAGTCAGGGCGCTGCCAGGTGCGGGCCTCCGGGACACGTGCGGTTGGCTCTGGCAGACGGCAGCTCGGGCCAGGCGCGCCCACACTCACTGTGCCCCTCCCAACAGGAGGACATAAATGACAGTCTCTCTGGGGAACGGTGCTTTGCGCCAACCGGACCAGCAAAGATGAAGGCAGAAAGGCTGTCTGGTTTGGGCCAGGTGGCTACGGCTCACGGCAGACGTGAGTATTCAGCGAGCATGGGCAGAAGCGTATTCAGTTCACTGAAGTCGGCACCGGTCGCAGAGCACAGCTTCACGCGCGGCAAGGCCAGGCCTCCCCACCGCCCAGGCGAGCTTTCCTTTTAAAGCCGCAGGCGCTAGGCAGCTGACTCCAGTCCACCAAACACGATGGCGTCAGAACCAACACGGACGAGACGGTACCGGAATCGTGGAGACGTAAGCGCGGTGACGCAAATGGGGGCTGAGGAGTCGTCCCTGGGACAAGGCCTCTGAGGACCCCGAGAGTCGGCCCGGTGCCCTGCGTGGTTCAAGGTGACTTGTGGCCGTTGAGGTCTCAGTGAGGACGTCGGATCACTCAGCCCGGCTCCCACTCAGAAGCCCGCCTGCTGGTCCCCACCCACTGCATCCGGCCCCCCGAGCTCACATCTGGGCACGGCCACGGAGCTGCCCTGCTTCCCGGCTCCGTCCAGCTCCGTGGTTGAGTACGAGCTCCTCTGCCGGTACAGGCGGATGGCCACGGCAGCGACGCAGAGCAGGACGAATATGGCCACGGCTACCACGCCTGGTCAGGGGGGGGGGCGAGGGAGACGGTCAGGGCCGGGACGGCGAGTGTGCCCAGCACACACCAGCCCGGAGTCCCCGCTCACGGCCCACCCCCCGCCGCAGGCCTCTACTGTGAACTGGGGACCCTGAGCTGTAGGGGCTCTCCGTCAGGGGGCACGTGGCCTTCTCCCGACCTTCTAACCATTGCTTGTCTTGTTCCTGTGCCATCAATTTAGGGTTGGATTTGATTTCCGAGTCCAGAAGTAAATGCACTGTGTCTCCCAGACCAGATGCTTGTCAGTAAGCAGACAGGCTCAGATTATTCCCCAAGTATAGACTGCACCATTTCTTCACAAAGTGCCTAATATGTTTGTTAAGGAAACTGAGTTGTACACCCTTGTAAAAGTTATTTTAAAATAACTTGAATATGGCACAGTGATTTATAGCCGTATGTGAGATCTCTATGTACACACGTGTGCATGGTCTCTGTGACTAAATTTGTCATAGGAACATACTGAATATGGGAATTTATAGACTCCACGGTATTTGAGATCTCCACTTTAAAACGTTTTGATGATTAACACCAAAGCCTGTGGTTCTCAACCTTCTGCATGTTAGACAAATTTAATCAAATCTCTAAGTGGGAGAAATCCATGATTTTAGAAAGCTTTTCAGTGCAAATACTCATGCAGATCCCAGAACACCGGGCTACATCAAAGCCAAGTGTTCATGCACGTGACTGCACCCCTGAGAACGAGACATCAAACGAGAGTGGCAAGACAGAAGGGACAGGAATAAGCAGGAGCACTCTTCCCTGGGCTTGCAGGGAGGGGTCTGGCCGGGCCCGAGGCCCAGCAGAGCCCGGGCCCCAGCAGAGCTGCTGGGGACGGGAGAGGCCACGGCAGACCTGGCAGCGTGTCCCCGAGCTGCTGGGCGGACACTGCAGGACAGGTATCAGGCGCTTGGTAATGCTCGATTTTTATGTCAGCTTTGGCTATATGTTTTCACCATGATTTCATCTGAAAATGATGGTTCTACCTCTTCAGCTAAAAAGTTGTGATCCAACACTATTAGCCTAATATTTTCTTCATAAAAACAACCCACAGTGATGTGTGCATTGGGACAGTACCTAAACCACGCCACGCAAAGCTCCCCAAACACACCGACCTTTTCATTGTTAGATGTGTTTACAGTAATTCCTTAATGGGCCCCTCAATGAAATCATCAATTACGTATACAGAGAGTCTCCTACAAGGCTGGCTTTGGGAAGATGACATCAGAGAAGGTCAGACTCCCCAGGACTGAACTAAACAGCTGGTTCCTGGGAGATAGGAGGGTCTGGATCCTCTGCTAGTGTAGACACCGCCCGGATCCCCGCGACAGGTGAGCCAGGAACGCACCTCCAATCAGTGCCGAGGGTCCGTGGGTCTCGCCAGCCATGGGTCTCCCCTCCTCCACCACTCCAGGACGTTCTGCAGGGAGAAAGGAACACAAGTCTGAGAGGAATTACCTTGTAAAAGTGGAATTCGTGTGGTTTTAACTTTAGAATTGTCAGTCTGCATTAAGAATGCTTTAACTGGATGCGGCGCCTGGGTGGCTCAGTCCGTTAAGCGTTGGGCTCTTGATTTTGGCTCAGGTCCTGGACTCAGGTGGCGGGATCGAGCCCAGCATCAGCTCTGTGATCCACGGGGAGTCTGCTCGAGAGTCCCTCTCACTCTGACCCTCCCCTGCTCACACAAGCTCTCTAACGTAAGTAAATAAATAAAATCTTGAAGAAGAAGAAGAAAGAAGAAGAAAGCAGAAGAAGAAGAAGAAAGCAGAAGAAGAAGAAAGAAGAAAGAAGAAAGAAGAAGAAGAAGAAGAAGAAGAAAGAAGCAGAAGAAGCAGAAGCAGAAGCAGAAGAAGCAGAAGAAGCAGAAGAAGAAGAAGAAGAAGCAGAAGAAGAAGAAGCAGAAGAAGCAGAAGAAGAAGAAGAAGCAGAAGAAGCAGAAGAAGAAGAAGAAGAAGAAGAAGAAGAAGCAGAAGAAGAAGAAGAAGAAGCAGAAGAAGAAGCAGAAGAAGAAGAAGCAGAAGAAGAAGAAGAAGAAGAAGAAGCAGAAGAAGAAGCAGAAGAAG